CTGAGGAAAGACAAGAGAATAGGATTATAATTTAACTTTGAGATGTTTTTCTTTTAACATACAGCATACATTTCATGATTTTAAACCTGGAGTGGTTCCTCATTCTCCTAGAAAGAATGCTTCATCATCTATGTAAAAATTTTGCATGAGCACAATTAAATGTTCTATAACTTCCATTCTTTGCAATGTCATCCATCATGACAACCACAATGTGACTGGAGTGTTAAGAGTTTATTGTTAAAAATGGCTTCCCTAGCCATTAAATTTTAACTCTGCCATGTGGATGGGAAGAAATATGCAAATAATATGTGTCAGTATATCCACAAGGAGATTAGCTAGTCTCACCACTAAATTGAGTGGCTGCAACAACAGAATTTGAGAATCTCACTACCAGCAAAGAAGAAGCAAGATATTGCAGTGTGCCCAGCAGGCCCGTATGTTCTTGTACTAGTCAGACCAAGGCCTGTGGTAGGAACCGCCATAGCAACTGCAGACAAGCATCAGAAATCTGACATGAGACAGAGGTGGCCTTGGGACTGCTACCCCATGGAGTCAGAACCGGCAGGAGAGGGGAACCATAATTGGCAGGACTAAGATCTTAATGCCATGAGGCTGAAGGCTGAGATGTCAGGGAGCACATTTTATTCTGCTACTAATCTGAATTATAGCCTTTCAATTTTTCTAATTTGGTATTCTTTGCTTTCAGACAAGATTTATTTGACATCACTACTCTATTGGCAATGATAAGCAAAATATGAACATTACCTGAAATGCTCTAACCAAGCTCTTTATTTTACTCTATCATAAAAAATACCACAAAGACTTAGAAACACCACATAAGGACTTAGCGTCACTAAACTCTTAAATGAGATTAGTGTACTTTCATGTCACTGATAGCCTGTATATGTCTCTGAATGCAACGATGAATATCTATCTTTGACCAGTTTATACATTATCTTCCTGCATCATAATTATTATTACCAATAATGCCCACCAAGAATCTTTAGGATATGAGTAATGAGGATGAGGATGGGGTCGGGGCAGGAGCAGATGATTGAGGATCGCCATGAGAGTGATCATAGGGTCGCACAATTTGATGGGTAGAGGGGTGGGTGAGTAAAGGAAATGGTAAAGATTCAGTGTGAAAAACAATGTGTACAAACTTTTTAAGTAAGCCAGTAAAAATAAAAATTTATTTTAAAAATAAAAAGAATCTTTAGGATACATGAGTATCCTACCAAATACATTCAGTGTTGTGTATATAATCCTTACTAAACTCACCAAATTACTAAATCCTTAGTAAAACAAAATGGTTTTATCACCATTATTTTCTAGTTGAAGAAACTGTCTAGCTGATTCCAATTCAGACTGGTTTCCCCATCAGGTTTCTATAAATCTTTATGGAAAGAGATTACCCTAATTCTCCCTTAGGGCAACCAACCGGCAGATTGTAAACTCTGAACTTTGGGTTCGCAGCACAACTCCTGCTATTATTTGCCCTACTATTGTCACCACATACACATTACATTAACATAGCTCCAATTGAGAAGTTTAAAAATAAATAAACATAATGAATGGCAATGTGTGTATGAAACACAATGTTAAAGAAGGATAGCGTGAAATACAATGTATACAAACTTTGCAAGCAAAAAGATATTAAAAAATTGCAAAATAAATAAAAGAAATAACAATTAATTTTGTTTTTAAAGTAAATAGCATGCAATATAGTGAAAATTACAATCCTGCCAAAAGCATTCTACATGTTTTAATGAAATCCCAAGACATATCAAATTATTTTTCTAAGAGATAGAAAAGGTAATTGGCAAATTTATTTGGAAAGGAAAGGAAAGGCTTTCAGCCAAGGTCCATCTGACATTAGCTATAATATCCCTAGTGTCATGTCTTCTTCTAAACCCAGACTGCACTTCAGGTAGTTCTCTGTTAATGTGATGTTCCAGTTGTTTTTGGATAATCTTCAGCAGAATCCTGCTTACATGTGATATTAATGATACTGTTCAATAATTTCCACACTGTCAGAATCAAACCTACTACATAGTTGCAATAACTAAAATAGCGTGTTACTGGTACAATGACAAGCACATAGACCAACGGAACAGAATCAAGTACGCAGAACTTAACCCACCTGTCTACAGTCAACTGATATTTGAGAAAAACAAAACAAAACAAAAAATCAACCAACACTATCAAATGGAGAAACAACAACCTCTTTAACAAATGGTGGAGGCAAACCTGGGCTTCTACCTGCAGAAAGCTGAAACAGGATCCACGACTCACATCATACACAAAAATACACACAAGGTGAATCAGAGACCTCGGAGCAAAGTCTACAACTATAAAGATTCTATGAGACAAAAATGGGACCAAAGTTAGAAGGCCTAGCCTATAGTATAAACATGCTGGCAAATATAGTTAGAAATGCATAACCAGGAGAAGATAACTTCAGGGAATGGGACCTTCTAAAGATTAAGTCCCTGTGTGCTTAAAAACTTTTTTCCTATAGGGTGAAAAGAAAACCTAGTGACTGGGGTGGTGGGGTGGTGGAAATAAACCAAACGAAATCTTTTGGCAGTGACATCTCAGACAAGAGTCTCATAACAAATGTTTAAAGAATACTAAGGTCTCTACAAGAAAAAGTTTGATAACCCAATTGCAAAATCGGCAAAAGATAAGGAAAGACTTTTTACAGGGAAGATATTCAGATGGCAGAAGATATTCAGATGGCCAACAGACACATGAAGTAATGCTCAAAATCACTGGCAATAAGAAAGATGCAAATAAAAACCACAGGAAGTTACCATCTCAACTCAGTTGCAGTGGCAAAGTTTAACAGGACATCAAGTAAGAAATGTTACAGAAGATGTGGAGAGGTGGGGACTCCCATACACTGCTGGTGGGATTGTAAAATAGTACAACCACTCTGGAAGGCAGTTTGGCATTTCCTCAAAAAGCTGAACAAAGAAATCCCATATAACTCAGTTATTCCACTGCTAGGAATATACCCCCAAGAAAATAGAACTGAGACACGAATGGAGATTTGTACACTGATGTTCACAGCAGCATTATTCACAAATGCAAGAACATGAAAACAATCCTTATGTCCATCAACAAATGAGTGGATTGAAAAATTGTGGTGCTTGCACAAGATGGAATTTTATGTAGCACTTAGGATTCAACGATTTTGAAAAACACTACATAGCTAGAGACAGGCTGTAATGCTGAGTGAACTCAGTCTCACAAGGACAAACAATATGTAAGACCATTATTGTAAAAAATAAAAGGATATCTAATAAGACATATAGAAAAGTCCAATAGGGAAACAGAAATCCCATATAACTCAGTTATTCCACTGCTAGGAATATACCCCCAAGAAAATTAGTTACATTTATGAGAATATGGCCAGGGTCCAAAGCTGGCAGGCCAAAGGTTAAGAGGGAGGGCTGCCTAAGAGCATGCCTAAAAAGTTATCCTGATAGAGAAACTATAACCTGAGTATTTCTAATATGAATTTTAATTTACTACTCTCCCAATAAACCCCATAATTAAGAGTTATGTCTATGTATTCTGTGTAGCTAGTGCAATGAATTATGAAACAGATAGAGTAAGGAGATCTGGTGGCCTAGGGTTAAAGAGTTGTGCTATCAACTCCAAAGCAATTTTGGCTAACCCTGAGGAAAATGGGAATCCCAGAACACTTGATTGTGCTTATGTGAAACCTATAATGGACCAAGAAGCAGTTCTCAAAACAGAGCAAGGACACACTGCATGGTTTAAAATCAGGAAGGGAGTGTGCCAGGGATGCATCCTGTCCCCATACCTTTTCAATCTTTATGTAGAACAGATTATTGGGAAGCAGGGTTTTATGAGGAGGAATGTGGCATCAAGATTGGAGAAAGATTCATCAACACCCTATGATGTGTAGATGACACAACCATGACTGCTGAAACTGATGAAGATCTGAAGCACTTCCTGCTAAAGGTCAAGGACTGTGGTCTTCAATATGGATAGAAGCTCAAACATCAAGAAGACAAAGATTCTTACCTCTGGGCCAACTGGCAGCACAATGATAGATGGAGAACAGATTGTTACCAATTACAGCTTGCTCAGATCCACAATCAACACTCTTAACACCAGCAGTCAGGAAATCAAAAGACAAATTGCACTGGGAAAATCTGCTGTCAGGGACCTCTCCAGAGTGCAAAAGAGCAACGTTGTCAGCCTAGGGACAAGGGTGCACCTAATCCAGGCCATGGTTTTCTCAATTACTTGTTACGCTTCAGAGAACTGGACAACAACTACGGATGACAGAATAGATGCCTTTGAGTTGTGGTGCTGGAGAAGAGTCTTGAAGACACCATGTACTGCCAAGAAAACAAACAGGTCTGTCGTGGAGAGAGTGAAACCAAGTCTCTTCTTGGAGGCTATGAGTTTGAAACTCTGCCTCATATACTTTGGGCGCGTGACCAGGAGGACAGGTCCTTGGAGAAGGACATCATGTTCGGAAGGGTGGAGGGACAGCGCAGGAGAGGAAGATCCAGGATAAGATGGATTGATATTGTTTCTGGGGCAATCGGGGTTGGTGTGTCGGAATTAGTGAGACTGGTCAGGTCAGGGAAGGTTTAGAGCTGCTATACATAGGGTCACTATACATCACAGGTAACTCAATGGCACATAACAACAACATAGTATATTGGTTGGGGGTTTTTTTTGTTTTTGTTTTTTTTAATTTAAGCCTCTTGTTTAGAGTCAGCAAGACCTTGTGGAGGGCCTTTGTATTTAAAGTTGAATTATATTTTGGAGGAACATTGTTCTAAGTGATACAGCACTATTCTGTCAATATGCTGTACCGAGGTAACCTGGGGTTGCTGTGATGCTGAGCCTTGTCCAATGGAGTGCCCACGGTGGACAGTATTTGGTGGAGCTCTCAGTTTAAGACAGGTTTGGAAATAGGAGTGGCATTCACTTCCTAAACAACATGCCTC